CATACATCTATGAAGGAGCTTTTGAAGTTGTCGAGGGAAATAGCCCGACCAAAGATAATTCACCAGCTGATGATGATGGAAGATGTGGGATCTAAGAAGTGAATATTGAGTAGACAGATCTGAGAAAGATTTTAAGAATGACATTGGTAAGTCCATTGTGTGGCCAGTGGGTAAAAGCTGTACGCTCACTAGAGGGAGGAAGCATAGGGTTTCCGAGTATGGGTAGGTAGCGGGATATAGTTGGTGATAAGCCAAAGAGTCTCCGCACCTCTCACCTCTCTCTAATCAGTAAGTTGGATCTGAGAGAGGCAGGGAGAGATTTAAGTTTTGAATGTATAATGGCTGAGAGATGTATGGTAGTGGAGACTCCAAGGCTCTTTCTAATGAGAAGTTCGAGTAGCATGACTTCATGGATAGCCAGTCTAGTTCCTGACAGAGAAGACATGACAGATTGTAGAATCTAATATTAGGCAATCCCGCTCCACCCTCGCTCTTGGGGAGACATGTTTTTTTTTGCATTGCCATAAGAAGGCCTGTAGGGCCGTATGTAGTTTCTGTACATCAGTGTTTCAACAAAATGGGAAGTGTTTGCAAGGGGTAGAGCAGTCTGGCAAAAGAGATCATTTTGAAGAGATGACATCTCTCAAAGTGCAAGAGAGATAGTTGACCAAGCTTTCAACTCTTTTACAATCTTGTTATTTAGGGGAAGATAATTAAGGTAATAAAGTGAAGATTGTTCTCTACCTATGCGTATGCCCAAATAGGTAATAGAGTGTTTGACTATACAGAATGGAGAAGAAGAGAGCCAATGAGCTTAAGCAGTTGAGTTAAAGAGGCAGTACTTCACTCATGTCAAAATTAAGTCACAGACCAGAACAACTGCAGAAGGTCGCAAACAGGATTTGAAGTAATATAAAATCGAGGATAGATCAGGGGAAAACAGTAATATATCATCAGCAAATAGAGCTGAGGGAAAGGTCAGGTCACCAATTGTGACACCACTGACCTCCTTGTTAGAGTTAAGTAGTTTGGATAAGGGTTCTAAAGCAATGTAAAAAAGAAGGGGGAGAACGAGGGCATCCTTGTACCCTTGGTTAGGGGAATGTCTAAGGACATAAAGTTAGGGGTGACCAATCTAGCTGTGGGTGAGGAATACATTTTTTCTCACAAAGTCAAGTATGGGGCACAAAATTCAAAACTTCCACATTACCATAAAGAGACAAGCGAAACTAATCAAAATGATCAAAAGCCTTTTCGGCATTGAGGAATATGACCGCTATATCTTGTGTTAGGTGGGTTTGGGCGTATTTGAGGGTCATCAGAACTTTGGTATATTGAGTGTCTCTGAGTGGCCTGGAACATAAGCAGATTGAGCTGGGTGCAGTATAATAGGGAGTAATGAGACCAACCTAGCAGCTATGATTTTAGAAAGTATTTTGGCATCAACATTGATCAAGGAGACAGGCCTATAAGACCCGAGTGATAGTGGGTCCTTTCCTATTTTGGAAATAAGTTTATATGGGTGGCACAGTGGCTTAGTGGTTAGCACATCTGCTTTGCAGTAAATGGGTCATGGGTTCGATTCCCGACCATGGCGCCTCCTGCATGGAGTTTGCATGTTCTCCCTGTGCTTGTGTGGGTTTCCTCCGGTTTCCTCCCACACTCCAAAGACATGCTGGTAGGTTAATTGGCTCCTGTCTAAATTGTCCTAGTTTCTATGTGTATGTATGAATGTGAGTTAGGGACCTTAGATTATACACCCCTTGAGGGTTAGGGACCGATGTGAATGTACAATATATATGTGTAAAAGCGCTGCATAAATTGACAGCGCTAAATAAGTACCTGAAATAAATAAATAAAAAAAATATATGTTCCTGAGAGCCAGTAGGAAGATAGGAGCCATCATCCCACATTGCCTTGTTAACAAGGTGCAGAGTGTCTGGAATGAAGTCTATGGTTAATTTATAGAATTCAGCACTATAGCCATCAGGTCCTGGAGCCTTAACAGAAGGTAGTATCTTGATTGTGGAGTGGATGTCGTCTAGCATTATCAAAGTATTAAGAGCTTCCAGCTGGGTTTGTGAATGTTTGGACAGGTGGACACTAGCTAGTAAATCATCAGTGGCCTTGGAATCAATCGGATCCTCTGAATATAAAGAAGTGTATCAGGAAGTAAAAAGAGCATTAATTTCAGAAGGCTCTGTAAGAAGTGTTCCTAAGGGAGACTGGAGAGTTGAAATGTAAGTGGGAGTGAGGGGGCCAGCACAGACTCAAGTCAATAATTTGCCTGCTTTATTGCTGTATCTATGGAATTTAAGGGAGGAGTAGGCTAGCTTAGCTGCCTCCTGCTGTTTAGCCCAGTAGTCAAAGGCTTGTTTGGCAGATAGCCAGGTCAACTTGTTTGTCAGAGTACGGTTAAGGGAGAGCGCAATGTGAGCTTGACAAAAAGATTCATTGGCCTGGCGATATTGAAGTTGAGATTGTTTTTTAAATTGTGTGGTATAGGATATTATGTACCCTCTGATGAATGCTTTTCCAGCTTCCCAAAACAGATTGAAGTTAGTTTAATGAGCTCCATTCGTGGCTGTGAACTCTGCCCAAGCCATGTAAAGATGGTGTTTGAAATCATCATTTTTAACTAAGCAGGAGGGAAAGCGCCATGAACCTGAAGGTCTGGGAGATCTCAACCCAAACAACTGTATTAGAACAGGACAATGATCTGAGATAGCCATATTGTCTTGTGTAGCAAGGGAAGGAAAGATGGTGAACAAAAGAGGTAGTCGATGCGCGAGAAAGAACCATTTGGGTGTGAGTAGAATGTGTATTCACAATCCGTTGGGTTTTGGAGACACCATCTATCACATAGGTTGAACATAGAGAAAGAGTGAGCTAGAGTAGTAGGAGGAGAAGTCTGAAATGGTTGTGTGCACCACGGAAGATTTTCACTAGTATGATCGGCGTAGTGGTGCATAACTGAATTAAAATCCCCACCAAATATATGGCAAGATTCTGGAATTTGTAAGGCCCAAGATACCAGATCTTGTAAAAAGGCCTGCCCTTGAGAGTTGGAAGTGTATATGTTAGAGATAGCAATGTCACGAGAGGCAATGGTCAAGTGAAGAGTAAGTTTGTCATCCATTTTTATGTAGTAAAATAGCTACCCCTGCTTTCTGTCCCATAGGAGGAGACCCATATACTTGGCCTACCCATAACTTTGACAAGCACGTGAGATCATTCACAGATAGATGTGTCTCTTGTGAAAGAGTGATGTCTGCCTGCAAACACTTAAGATACCTTAGAACCTGCATACGCTTATTAGGAGAGCATAGCCCTGTAGCATTTCAAGAGAATACCTTTAGGTGATCTCCGTCATCAGAAGGAACTGTCTGTTGTAGTATAGGAAAAGAATGCAGCCCACAGGAGGGCAACACCACTCCAGGCATTGCCCCAATGAGTCCATGGTCACAGTAGTAATAAACAACACCTAGGGCAGGGGTGGTGAACCTATGACACGTGTGCCACAGCGGGCTGGCCCCACTCCTGCCCTGCAGCTGAGCATCGGGTCCCACGCATGTGTGGTCGCAGTGCTGGCAGATGATGTCACGAGCCATGACTACCTCCCTAGCCGCTCCACAAAGTGTTCAGCATGCCTTCAGCCTGCGCGGTCAGCCAGCAGTGGATCTGCTACAGCAGCTAGCTGCTGCAAACAAGAATGCTGATTTCCTACACTGGATGTAAGTTTTTATACATATTTAACTGAGGCTGACATTCTTTTAATATTGTGCTGTCCACCTGGCATTCAAATCTGAAGCATTAGGAACATTGTCCCTCTGCGCCCATGGTCAGTGTTCATTGCTCTTCTGTGCTGGTGGTCAGTGGCAAAATTGCCCCTCTGTGCTGATGCTCAGTGTAAAAATTGCCCCTCTGTGCTGGTGGTCAGTGGAACTTTGCCCATCTGTGCTGGTGGTCAGTGGAACATTGCCCCTCTGTGCTGGTGGTCAGTGTAACATTGCCCTCTGTGCTGGTGGGCAGCAAATTCAAGAGGAACTCCAGCTGTAAATGTACGATGTTAACCTCCCGGCGGTATGATTATTTCAGATTTTTGGTGCTGAACGCGGTACCATTATTTTGCATGGAAATTTGGCGTTTTATATTGTAGGCCTGTAATTCTTAGGAATAACTCACTTAAATCTGTCCAAACCAGAGTCTAGTAAACATCCCGGGTAGAATAAAACTTTAAACACTAAATCATAAATTTTAATTTAATAAATAATCATAAAAAATAATAATATAATAATACATGTAATTCAATAATATAATCAAACCAAAAACACTGAAATTTGAAATATAGCGCACAAGTTCGCACATCACTGAGCAAAGTTGCAAAATTGTTTTCAGTGTCTGATGACGAATTTTCCCCGTGAATCATCACTCAATTCTGCAAGTGGTTCTGATTTACTATTGCTGTTCTCTAGCTGGTCTAAAACCGCTTTTTTTTTTTTTTCAATATTTATATTTATTTCAATATTTATTAATTTTTCAAAGCAATAACAAAACACTTTCATCACATTCATAATAAATATACATAACTATTTTGTATTACTTTTCTTTTTCCCTCTTAAAACATTACCCCCCCCCCAAGCCCCCCACTCTGCATTCTTTCACTACCTCTTATCTAAAGCAATAACAGAAGTACCGAAAGAGGAGGATTGGATAGAAAGAGTGAACTGGATTAGTAGGATGGAGAAGCTCTACTATATGCAGGAAGATAAGATGGAGATATACTATGCAAAATGGGAAAAATGGGTAAACTCTGGAGTAAATGTGAAAAAGTGAAATGTAGGATAATATAGAGTGGGTGGATGGGTAGGATATTCTTGCTTTAAAACCGCTTTTGACCTAAAGGGATGCTTTTTGGACGCCATGGATGTTTCTCACCTTCCAGGCAGAAAGAACAGTAAAAATGCAGGCAGGGCACAGGACAAAGCACTCGGGACAAAATGTATGTGAAATGCTTTGATACAGTAATGTTTTACTATGTGATTTTAGTGAATGTCACTTTTTGTCATTTTCAAATTTCCTGCCATTCCGTCCCCCGTATGTCCCGACGCTCGCAGGGGACGGAACCCAGATGACAGATGCCGGCATCCGCTGGATTACATTGCGGGGGACACTGCAGGAGGGACATTGTGGGAGTGAAGGACAAGGTAAGTGATCGAGGGATCGCGGAGCAGGTAAGCCCGGGTGTAGCTAGGGGTTACCGCTTGTGGTACTGAAACTTTACCCCGAGCTACACTCGGGAATACCGCCAGGGAGGTTAATGTATGAGTTGTTTTTATAAACTAAAACCTTAGGTTTAATTGCAGTGTTGGCGCTTTGCGATAAATAAGTGGGTTTTGGGTCACAGTTTGGGCTCCAAAAAGTTTGCCATCACTGACCTAGGGGAAAGGAGAACATACAAGCAATGAACCAAAACAGTAATAGCAAAACACTTTTAATGAAATAGGAGATACTCTACACTAACATTAAGGACCTCACTGTTTTCTGCATGAAGTAAACCTCATGGAAGCTCCTGCACAAGAGGTTCCACCACATTGAAATATATTAGGATTCCGGGGGGAAAGGAGAAAGGTTGAGGGATAAGGTAAGGGGAAGGGGGAAAAAGGTAAGGAAGGAAGAGGGAAAGGGGAGAGGGAGTGCAGGAGAGGGAAAGAGGAAGAAGAGGGGAATGGGAAAGAGATGGGGGGAAGAAGGATAAAGGGGCAGAGTAGGGATGGATACACAGTAGGGGAAAAGAGACTGAAGGCACACCTCACCTGCAGAGTGAAGGGAGCAGAAACAGAAACAAGCTGTATTGGAGGAAATTAAAACAAGTATTTATACCGCTTGCATTAAAAAAAAATACATGTACTAATAAACTAACATACTAATGATTACCGAGCTGCATTATGTGTGCCTTTACACCTAGAGTTCAGCTTTAAATGCTTTGCAATATTCAATTTAAAAAAGGCAGAAGTAGACTCCCTGTAGCTTTATTTTTAATGGAAGCCATTCACGTTTTACTTCACCCAAAATGTGATACACCAGACTGCAGATATTGGTATATAATAGGGTGATTTGTAAATTGCAATATGGGCATTTCTAAAACACATGCTAAATAAACACATGATTATAATACTATATTGGTTTTTCTTTATTTACAATCGAACATATTTAGGAAAAGGATTGAGTTTAAATGGGACATACTGTATCTGTTTTTGCTTTGCATTAACCTTACACCCATTTCTCAATATTTAACATGATTCACATAACCACAGGAATTATTCACATAGCCTATCTTAAAATCTTATATGTTCAAAATATAACTGAATGTAGACAACATTGGGTTAAAATATAAAACAATAAAAACGTAATAAATAATACAATAAGTTCTCCTTTAATATCCAGATCACCTGCCAGGGATTTTTTTGCAGTAGATGATGATGCATTTTTTATTTATCTTGTGGAAGTATGGGGCTTGTGAAATGATGACATTAATTTTACATTGTGTATATATACTTCACGGATGAAACTGTTGAATGTGTAAATTTAATATGACAGAATCGAGAATGTTGTGTGTTTGCATTTTTGAGCTACTCATTTTCTGTAAACCACTCATTATAAGAATAAAGCAACATGACATCTAACTTTTGGCACCATTTTTCCATCAACAATTCAAGCATAAAATAGCACAATTTGTCATCATCTGTCAGACGACCATGGATATATGTCAGAGCTGTCAATTCAGCGTAATATCCCTTTTGTCAGGAGATGATCAAGTGGAATTAGTAAGTAGAAATATTCAAAATTACTTAGAATTTAGCATGACAGCTAATGCCAAGAGCGGTCATTGTGATGCCTTCAAAAAAGGCAATGTCTGACCATAGTTATAAAAGTAATATTTAGTTTCAAAACAAACTCTTAATGGAAACCTTTTACAATAGAAAAATGTAAGCTGTCATTGTTGACTATTTTTCAGGAAAATCTTAGATGCCCACTTGTTAATACAATTCCATGAGGTCATTACCTAGAGCAAATATGCAAATCAGTTGTTCTGATTTCATTGTATGCATGCTTGTTCCAGGTCACTGCTTGTTCCAGGCAGCCAGAGACAGTCAGACAACTAGCAATTGCAAAAGTAGATTAGAGATGCAAGACTGCATGGTTCTTATCAGTGCACTTTTTTTTTCTATAAAGTTGTTAATTGAAAATATGTTGACTTGAAGTTTATTCCTAGGCTAATTAAAAACAAAACATTGTTTTTGCACCCCTCCTCCTTTTAGGTAATTACTAATTTTAATCCAAACTAAAGGTCCCATCTCTTACCTGAAACCAAATTCAAATGAAACTGGGTCCCGATTCTGTTTTTTTTTGTCTGTAGTGTGGGAGGGTCTGTGCTCAAATCTCTTCCTGGTAATATGGACACTGTTCCTTGGCTTCAGAACCAAAAATGTGCATCCCTAAAATAGCATAAGGCCTCATGTATATGGGGCATTTGGAAAACTCTTCTGAATGATGGAAACTGACTGCTGGAAAATGTAGGTTAAAAAACGGCAGTTTAGCCATGTTTGCATAACGCGTTTAGCTGTGTTTATGCGTGTCAGAAGCGTTTTTAAAATATAACCTCAGGAGACCCTCCCAAATGCCCAAAATGCACTAAAAAATAGTAAAAAATTAACTATTTCACACATTTTGAGAGAAATAGAGGGAGCAGAACCAGAGAGAGCAGTATGTGTTGAGATGACCTGCCTTTTCTGATTGTATTCACTATGGATCCCATCATGAGTATAATGCAGCACTTTCTACCATTTTTTCCTTCACGCTAAAACTAGAACTGACTGTGCTGGCATACCGGGTCCATTTGAATACATGGAAAATGCTGTGCATGCATTTCTGATGATGAAAAAAGGTTCTGGACTGCATCTGGATATGGAACAGTTAAAAAAACGCTTCTAAACGCAAACGCTTATAAACGTGGGTTTACAAGTTTTTTCATGCGTTTACAAGCATTTAGCACGCCAGTAAAATCTACTCCTGAATGCAAGTTTGGTGCTTTAAAAAAAACCATTGTAAACTCAACTGCCTGTAAACAACTGTAAATGACTATGTGTACATGGACACATAGGAAAACATAAAGGAGAGTTCAGGGGCTACCTTAAAAAAACGCTGAACAGCTTCTGAACGTCAGTTTAGCAGCTACATGAGCCCTTAAAAAAACAAGTGGTTATGAGTGCAGCCACTAAACATATCAAATACAAATATTTAAGTTTGAATATACTGTACTTGAGACCAAAAATTGTGTAATTATGATAGGATGATATATCAATACATCAGAGTGAAAAAGAATAAGCAATGGGCAGAAAATATATGTGTACAGTATATGTATAAAAAAACTTTTTTTCTCTGCGCTTAGTGTAAACCCACGATTAATAATAACATCTGCGTTCAAAAACATCCACCATGCACTTAAATATTTAAATACCAATATGTTGCGCTGTAAAAAATAAATAAATGACCAATGTAATAAATGTGATGCTTCTAAAGAACATATAATTCAAAGTCCATATCTAAATTAATTCTCCCATGAAGAAAGTGTCCACCATCAACAAAAGCCTGTGAATAGTGCATCCATTCCACTTCAAGCAATCTCTTGCCAGATCTCTAGACCCCAAATTATAGGAAGTCTATATAGCATGAAGCTGTATGAATCTGAGTGCTGTGATTCCCACCTTAAAGATGTTCAAATGCTATACTTTCTTCCTTTTTCTTAGCCACAAGAGGCTCACATACAAACATTCCCCATAGTGAAATACCACAAAGGATTCATTAATAAAAAAGAAAAGATTCTAATAAAAAATTAGGACAAATAAAACGAAATATACAGACATCGCTGGTGCCGGCTCCAGCTAGCAAAGATGACGTCAGCACAGACTCCTCCTTCCCCTTAACATTAAAGGCAGGAATGTTCCACATTCCAATAAAAGGAGCAAATTAGCAAAAAGAAGAAAGTATAAAAAGGAAAAAGGGAAAAAAGAAAAAGGGTTATTGGTGACTAATAAAGTTGTTATAATATTTTGTTTTTTAACAAAAAGCTCACAATTGTCTTTCTGCCAAATAATAGTCCCAATCTGTAGAGGGAATTCTTTATTTGAGTCCCAGTGAAAATCAATGAAGAAATTAATGATCCTTCAAAAAGGCAGCTGGTGAAGGTCACAGAAAGCCTTTTACTACCAAATACACACAGTACTTGATTCAGTTATCCTGGGTATGCCAGAACCCTGATGTACTGTATATCCACACCTGCATGTATACATCTTCACAGACTCTCACCCCCACAAGACATTGCATTAATGTGTGTATTAAGGAACAATGTACAGGCATCATACCAGAGGATAGAAAAGAAAAGAGGTTTCCCTTAGCAAAGATCAATTGAAACATGAATATTCATTACGACTATGGCACTTACAAACAGAGGAAATGAGAAGCACTACTAAGAATACAAAAACTTCCAAGGATCCAAGATGGCCTTGGCAGGTCACACATGCATGGTTAGCATGTGCTCCAGCTCCACCTGAATCATTTCATCATAAGTGACATCATCAGAGGCTCAGAGCAAACGCTGTCACCATGTATATAAACAGGAGGAAGCATAAGGAGGATCAAGACCTCACTGAACATATCCATAATAGGTGTAATATGTTTACCCCACAGGGCACAGAGCGCAATCCCTATCAAAGAAATAACACAGCAACACATTTTGTCCAATACTTTTTGATAATCCCCTTAATTTTGTAGTATTGGGCTGAAAAGTTAGTCATAAAGGAAAACCCATACATGTCAGGGTTTGGTGGGGTTTGATTGCTCTCACCAATCAAAATCCCCTGATCCAAATTTCCCACCATTTGGATCACCTGATTTATAATGACCATTCATATCTCTTCTCCAGGAATTTTTGTTTCATGAACTGAGCTTGTTCAAAGTAATCATTAACATTAGTGCAGTTGTGCTTTAATCTCATAAACTGGCTTTTAGATACAGAGGAAAGCCATGAGGAGAGGGGGCACGAATCCATGGGTATAACCCCATTTCTATCTGTACTTTTAAAAAATGTAATGTGGCACTCGCTTCATAACTAAGCGAGATACCACATTGATTATTATCATTCAAAGTGATCCATGGCTGCAATGTCACCATCCCATATAAGAATGATGTCGTCAATATATCTTTTCCAAAGAATCAACTCTGGTCTCCTGTGAGATACAGTAGGATCCCACTTGGC